GGGTGCAGAGTGAAGGGTTGAGAGCAAAGCGGGCACTGAGCCAAACGGGCCATGCCAGTGCTGGGTGCAGAGCAGCGGGTCGAGAATAAAGCGGGTCATTAGCCAGCTCTGGTCAGCTCCGCAGGTGTGTGTAGGAGATTCAAGGTCACTCGCTGCTAGTTGTTTCAAACAGCTCTGGTCAGCGCCGCATGGGTGGGGGAGATTCAAGGTCACTTGCTGCTAGAATCTGGCCTGGTATTGATCCGGCCATACACAAACAAGAAAGCATCTACAGGCCTGGTATCATCTAGGCCTGGTTATTTTCTCATTACTTACACCAGCAGAAATTGGGCTTTGGGTCTCCACTTCGTCCTCCCCCCCCATTCACAATGATATGATGTTTTGTTCTGATGATGCCTGATACCTGATCCCTTCGACACCTCATGATCGCACAGGCTGGTGTGCTTCTTCCAACCTATGGCATATTTAAAGAACTAAAATACTCCCTTAGCGTTAAGGCTGCAACGCTTCAGTATGAGAAAAAGCAGGTGACCGTTATCCCAGTTTGGGGAGGTGGTGGTCATTGGGCTGTGGTTTGCATCTCTAACTTTGAGAGTACCCAATGTAGAGTGACCCAGGACCACAATACACTTACTATTTTCATGTTGTCTTTGCTTTTTTATGGCATGTGTTAAAGTCTAGCAGGTCCTGCCTTTGTGAATGCTATTGAAAGTTTGCCTTATCCCTAAACCTCTTTGTGTAAATAGTGCTCAATCGCTTAAGTTTTTAATCTGTACAAATCAACAATTCCTATATTACGTTCTTAAAACTGACTTATACATGTATAATTTCTTTTTCTCAACAGTGTTTTAAATTCGATACCATTGGCCAATTGTAGCCCTAATCTAAGAGCAATTATTCTTTATGATATGGGCCTCCTCTAAACTCGATACTTGATCTCATAGCGAGATCACTGAGAAGATAAGGGCGCTACAGCAGAGTGGTGAAGAGATCAGATGGTGCCTGGCTATCAGAAAGAATAGCTTCTGGGATCTTAACTTTTTGCCCTAAAACAAGCAGTTGTCTCAGTGAGGCATTAATCAAGTCCACAAGGAAGAAGCACAAGACGACAGCATGCTTGTGGGATCCACAGATTTTCAATAACAAAATACAAATCTGGAGGAGGGAAGGGTATCGGAACTTCAATTCTGAACACCCAGTTTGCAGAAGGTCATGGATGACAGTTGACAGTTGGACACTGAATAAGGAAGACTGAAGAATCATCGATGCGTTTGAAGTGTGGCGCTGGAGAAGGCCATTGGAAGCATGATGGAGCGCTAAAATGACAAACTGGTCTGTCTTAGAAGCAGGACAGCCAGAGTGCTCCTTAGCGGCAAAGATGGCATACTGTCAGAACAATCCATACGTGGCAAAGTGGAGGGGCAATGAAAAAGAGGAAGGCCTTCAAGGAGCTGGACTGAGACAGCGGCTGCAAGGATGGGCGCAGGCCTAGAAGCAATGGTGAGGATTGGCTGTTGAAGGCCATTAAGACTCAGCCTGGAAACAGCTGGGAAGTCTCACGACCCAGGTGTCAGTATCTGCTGTTTGCTTCTGCGGCTTGACATTGAGACTAAGAACAAGGACGTATACGAGTTCTGGGAAATCAGGATGGTTAATTTTCTCAAGGAGGCTCGGTTTGGAAAAACATAAGAGTTGTTGATATGTATCCAATGTGCTTGCTTAACAATAAGAAAAATATAGCCCCGGGGTGTTTCTGCATGTATAAAAGGAAGATGTAGAATAAACTCAGGGCTTCGGTATTCACTGTTGCCCTCCCAATACTTTCTGTCTCTCTTTTTTCCTTAATCCTCACTCCCCCTTTCAAGACCGTTCGACGCGTCGGCAGGCTCCGACAGACGGCACAGGACTGTGCAGTGCTTTGTCGTGCTGTGCACACGGTCCTATGGGTCAGAAGCGTCTCAATGGCACCTAGCAACAACGATGAATGACAGTGTCAGTCCCAACTCCATTTGCAGGGTGCCCATGTGAATCGAGCCTCTGGGGAATTCCCTCTGACTATAGAGTGCAGTATGTGAATAATCTTCCTGTCAGCAGAGGGCCTGACGAAGGGTTGGCAGATGCAGTTAGGCTAAAGTAGAACACCTCATCCTTTGATCTCCCTTTGGACCCCTTTTAAATTGGTTCCTGCTTTTGAGATTTTCTGCCTTCTTTTCGATGGAGATTTTTCTGTTTGGTCATTGTTGTTGGGGTTCTTTTGTGTGTGTTTGATATAGGTTTCTGTATATGAAATCCAGGAAACCAGAGACAGTAACTAGATTAAAAAATTATCTAGGAGCATGGCAAGGGAGGTGGGGGGAGCACTGGGAGCTAAACAGTGAGGACAAGAGAGAACATAACTGTGGTGATGATTGCACAATACTTACTATGATTGAACTTTGAAATTGTGTGGCATGTGAATTAGATGCCAACAACAACACAAGCGTCTCTTTTTGTTGACGATGCTAAAACAGTTAGTTTTAGGAAAACCAATTTCTCATTCTTTTACTAAAAGCCGAAGGAAAATACAATGTAGCTCTTTAGTTCTTTTACTTAAGTCATTAAAATTACATAGGCAGTTCATGAGATAATAAAATGTTGGCGATAAAACCTCTCTTTTTTTGTCTATGATTTACAGAGTTACAGTGGACGTCCTAAATCCAGTCTGAATCTCCATATGGATTTAGCCTCCACTGTATTCTTTCTGACTGTTCACTGGCAATGTGAATAGTTTTGCCCTCAAGGCAGAGCCCATTAGAAAGTTGATTAATGCCACCCCCCTGGAAGTCCAGGGAGGGGCAGCCTAGCCCTTAGGGACTTGCCTGGGATGAAATTTGGGATACTAAGGCCCACATGACACTGACTGGCTTGGTTGGAAGGTCCTGAATCAATTTTATAATTGATTCCATCTAGAACAGTCTCTGTGTCCCAATCATGGTCCCTTTCCCATTTCTGTGGTTCTGCCTGTAAGTGTGATGTACTTGTTCACCATCAATCATGTTTTTGTGATAGTTTCATTGTCCCACTGAAGTAGCCGCTTTACACTATTTATCTATTTGTCTATCAAGTCAATGCAGACGCACCGTGACGTGACCCTATCAGACAGGGTAGAACTGCCCCTGTGAGTTTCCGAGACTGTAGCTCTTTATGGGAGTAGAGCCCCACCTTTCTCTCTCAGAGAGGCTGGTGGTTTTGAACTGCTGTCCTTTCTGATCGCAGCCCAGTGCATAACCACTACTCCGCCAGTGCTCCTCCTTTAAGTGGCCGGGTATGTTTAAATCCTTGGATGTCATTATGGCCTGGTTCTGATGGGTCTCCTTCATCCATAAGATGTGCTTTGATTTTGTCTTGTTATCGTCTTGCTGAAAACTTAATAAATGTTCTCCATAAATTCTATTAGAGATTAACCACCAGGTGCTCTGAGAAAGGATGAGGCTTTCTACTCCCACCAAGAGTTACAGTCTTGGAAACCCACACGGGCAGTTCTGCTCTGTCCTGCAGGTTTGCTGTGACTTAGAATCGACTTGATGGTGGGATGGCAGTGATGCTTGTTTGTTTTCTCTCTCCCCTAAAACACTGTGAACATAGAGTTAACAAGCCCAAACGCATATGATGATGTGTATAAAGTACCTGCCAACCACTTAGACCCAGGCCATCTGTCTACCTTTTGTATAGCAGTGGGGTAGGCACTATACAAATTTCATTTAACTCTTAAGCCATAAGATGTAGTAGCACACCAATATTTAGACCAGGAAAGAAGGTTTAGGAATATAAAGTAAGCAAAAATTATAATCTAGGACTGCTTGATTCTGAGTAAAGTCAGTCCCTCGCCAATTCCCCAAGTATGGCTTTTGCTCAATCAATGTCAAAAGTGAGAAATCATCTAGTGCAATGAAGTTGACGGAAATGCTTCCACTCACCGTGGGCTTTGCCATGGCAAAAAGCAATTTCTCTGTAGGTTTGTCCTTTGAAAGCGCATTGTTAATGACGACCATGAAATCATCTTGATAGCCTCCGAAGGTCATTAGACTCTTGTACACATAACTAATGATTAGCCTCTGGAAGAAGAAGACAAACCACATATAAGTGATATACGCTTTACTTTCAAAGGAAGATCAGAGATTAATAACACATATCGCCATTAAAACACAACCAATAATTGGCAGAGTCCAGAAAATTATTTTCTAAAACTCATATAGCTTCTGATCTAAAATACATAGCAGTGGGTTCATTATTTAGGGATTATTTGCCTTTATAATGAAAATATGTTTTGATCCAGAAACAGCTCACTGCAGAGAAATTTTAAAATACAGGAAGAAAACAAAAGCACCTGTACATATTCCTGCCTCTGGGGAAAAGCAATGAATATTTTTGTATATGTCCTTTAAGATAGCTCTCTAGGTTAATCCATATGAAACAGATAAGAATTGGTAGTCTATATGGTTCAACCTGATAGGTTCTGATATATGTCATAAGATACCATGGTATTCATACTGCCCAATAGCCTGCTTTATTTAATTCTTTATTTTTAAAAATCATTTTATTGGGGGCTCTTTTAAAAAAAGTTATATAGCTCAACTTTATTGAGGAATATGAACCTTGTATCACAGTGATTCCTGGTGTTTGTTTCTTTTAATCATTTTATTGGGGGCTGCATCTCTTAATCACAATCCATACATCCATCTATTGTGTCAAGCACATTTGTACATATGTTGTACTTGATCTTAGCCAAAAGGCCGAGAAGTGTTGTACATATGTTGCCATCGTCATTTTCTAAACATTTTCTTTCTACTTGAGCCCTTAGTATCAGCTCATTCCCCTCCTCTCCCTCCCTATTCTGCTTTTTAAATATAACAACACTTTTGGACATATTTCAGGATAACAGACGTACATTATTTGTGTGATATTATTTTAATGATTTAATAGTTAATTATTTAACCGATGTCCTATTGTGGCATATTGAAGCCATTTTGAAATGTTACTATGTAAAATAATACTCTACTAAATATTTTGGATATATTTATCAGTGTACATACCTAATTATTTCTTTGGTTGGAAATTCCAAAAAAGGACAACTATTATTTCCCCCCGTTTTCTTTTATCACTGCCTATTCTTTCTTGGACATGAATTAGTATCTCTTTGTGGTTTTTATTTGCGTCTCCCCAAGGGCATCTTTGTGTGTCCTTTGGGGGTTTTTGAATATCTTCTTTGATGAAATGCATTAAGGATCTGCCCATTTTTCTGGTTCAGTTGTTTGTCTTTTTGTTGTTAAGATGTATAAATATTTTATATAATTTGGATATTAAACCCTTATTGACTACCTGCTTCCCCCAATTTTCTCTCCATCTGTAGGTTGTCCTATCACTATTTCCATAAAGTTTTGTGATGAACTAAAGTATTCAGTGTTTATGAGGTCCTACTTATATCTTGTGCCTTTCTACTTTCAAACAGAGTTACGGCCTCAGAAACTCACAGGGCTGTTCTACCCTGTCCTATTGGGTTGCGATGCATTAACAATGACTGGGTGGCAGTGAGTTTGAATTGAATAGCTCATCACTAAAAACCAGGTCACATAGCTTCCCCCTTACATTTTTCTCCAAGAATTATGAATTTATTTTTTAAACTTATTAAAAAAATTTTTCCCAAGCCAAACTGTATCCAGCTTTATTAAAGATACTTTTCATAAACCATCATGGTATTCGGGCAGGACCCGGGCAGACAATCATTAACAGTGTACAACACTTTCAAGCTTCTTTCTTCAATGAACGACCAAAATCAGAAAGCCACCATAAAACCCAAGTCTCATCTGATGCTCTGAAAAGGGAAAGTTTAGAGTGACGGGTCACATTTCACATTGGGCGTGTTGTTTAACAACATTCCACGAGCCGACCCTGACTTTCAAAAAGGAAATGAACACAGCAGAATTGCCAATCTGAAGATCCACAATTCTGAAACGGAACTGCTGCTCTTTTGAGGGATGCCATTAGGAGTGCGTCCCTGGAAAATCTAGATCCTTGATATTCTACCAACCAACCAGCAATGGTACTTTCCTCTAGCTTGCTTCCTGCCCGGAGAATGTCTTTTATGTTTTCTTTATTCCCTTCAATCTGTGGATTCAATTGTATCCCCCAATTCAGTCCATGAGAGACCCTTACCAGATTTATTGTTCTTCAAATTTTTCTTTAATCTTTGTTTCTAAAAATTAAATAATATTCATGTCACATTTGTAAAATAGATACTCAGGATACACTGTTAGGAAGAATGTTTTGCATGAATGAGGTGAATTAGATGATGCATCATTATCTCCTTTTTATGGTAGACTGAACAATGAAAATGGAATGTCAAATCAGAACAACAACAACAAAAAGAAAATGGAAGGTCAATGATTGTTGACTGAATACCAAACTTTAGAATTTAATCTTACCATAGAGTTGTATTCTAAGATGCTTAAACCATCTTCATGGACAGCCAACCATATGACAGTGTTTCCAAGCGATGATGGAGTTATAGGCTAGGAAGAGGGGAAAGTACACTTTATTATAAATGTTTAGCAGAATATTACAGAAATATTTTCACTTTAAATGCCAAATACCACTTACCATTAAATAATAATAAAACTTACTTCAAAAATCTGTTGGGGAAGAGGTAATGTGATGTACTGATAGGGGTGTGAAAGTGTCTTAGGAGACCTGGATTTGAGACTCAAAATTTACTATTTTCTCACATGTTCACGAGGACAAGCTGCTTAATTTCTTTGAGCCTCGACTTCCTCATCTTCAACATGGAAACACTAATGTTTATACCTTATTTGTCTTTTGTTTCCCGAAGCTACTAGTTAATAAAACTCTGAGGGCTTCTAGGCTGATCAACTTTCTTTTTTTTTTAAAATTAAATAATCATTTTATTAGGGACTCATACAACTCATCACAATCAGTATATACGTCATTTGTGTCCAGCACATTAGTACATATGTTGACTTCATCATTCTCACAACACCCGCTTTCCACTTGAGCCCTTGGTGTCAGCTCCTCATTCCCCCCCTCCCTCCCCACTCCCCCTTCCCCTGAACCCTTGATAATTTATAAATTATTATTATTTTATCTTATCTAACCCCATCCAACGTCTCCCTCACCCACTTCTCCGCTGTCCGTCCCCCAGGGAAGAATGAAACAAATTCTATTGATATACTTTATGCAGTCTTTTGCACTTTTACAATGGAAAGAATTATTATAGTTATACACTCTTAAAGAAAAACATTACTAAATCTGATGTTCAATGAGTACTATTAGATTAAAAAGAATTGTGAAACCGTGCAATCAACAGTAACCAGAAATGCTAAACTTTTCACTTTTTTATTGCATATAACCATGAAATATTAATAAACAGAATCTCTTATTATGAAAACTTATTGATGCTTTTGCATATTTTGCATATTCCACAATTTTTTTTGGTCAGTGAGATAGTTAAAGTTTATTTTGCCAACCTGGCCAATAAACACATGTGGGGTTAATTGAAGGGCTAAAGATAAATGGCTCGGTGAGTCTTGCCTTTCTAATTCTCGGGTCTCTTGTTTTCTGATGGTCGGACCAGGGTGCAGCTGCCTTAGCCAGTTCCCTGATTTAGCTGGCAAGGCTCACCTCCTGCAAGACATCCTCAAGGAGAAGCCACATGGACCTAACCCGATGCAGCCCTGGGTGCTGGAGTAGCCATGTGGAGACCCCAGCCAGGGCTGAGATGATTACCCTTTCACTGACTTGGCTTTCCTCCTGCAGTCGGCATCATTGCATGTGTTTTGTGAGATGGAGGAGGACTTTGTGGACTGGTGTTGGGCATATGTGTTAATGTTGAGCTTGTATGCTTGGGCTGCACTGGGTTGGGATGTTTTCTTCATGTGTACTTACCCTTTATCTAAAACTCTCCCTTATACATAGGAGTTTCTGTGGATTTCTTTCTCTAAAGTACCCAGACTAAGACAGTCAGCAACTGAAATTCTAACAAAAACTTTTAAGCGCTTCTCTTAAAGTTGATTAAGGAATGTCAAGAGTGTATATAAGGAATTGGGATGTAGCCTGTGCTATCTGTATGCAGCATAGTGATCAGAATGGCTTGTATGAAAAACACAAGTTATTACATTGTCCATGAGGGCTCGTTTGTGTAGGATTGTTCAGCAGCATCAAGTGGATTCCGGGTCACAGCAACTCCAGGTGACTGCCCCCTAAGGTTCTTGAGGGTGAATCTTTATAGAAGCAGAGTCTTTCTCCCACAGAGCCACTGGGCGGGTTTGAACTGCCAACCTTTGAGTTAGCAGCTGAGTTTTGCACCGTTGTGCCAAGGAGAGACAGCATTAAAAATGTGTATCCAGCTTTATTAAAGCTGTGCCAAGGAGAGACAGCTTTAAAAAAGATGTCATTAAGCAGACAAATACAACAATGTGGTGAATTTCCTTATTGTTAAAAAAGCTTCATATGGTAAACCAGCGTTTAGTGCTTCAATGGGCTGAGCTCGATGGAACTGGCCATACACACAGCGGTTTGTATTCTGCACCTCCTTCGCATCCCTGACTGACGTACCTTTGCAAGGAACAACTTGGCACCAAAGAATGGCCACTTCCGGGCTACTGTCAAATAGATGCGTACACAATCCGCAGCACTGTGTCCTCGGAGGGCCATCCATCTTGTGGACAGTCGCTGGCACAGCTGCCTACAAAAAAGAAAAGAAACCACACAAAAGTAAAAACACTCTTATCACCCTTCCAGGGCCAATGACTGCAAAACTGTGAGCCATTGATACTGTCCCTTTGGACTCTCCCCGGCACTGTCCACCCCTGGTCTTTTCACACCACTTCTTTGGCAAAAGCCTCAGACTCTTGGTGCTCTTTGCAAGACTTAGGCTCTCCTCCACCCAACATTCTCACCCCGAGTCGAATCCATTTTAAAATTCACAGTAAGCAAACATACAAGCTTGTGAGTGTTGTTAGGTGCCCGGGTGGTCAGCTCTGACTCATAACGTTCACACACACATCAGAATGTCACACCACCCGGGCTTGTGCCATCCCCACAATTGCTCTTCTGTTTCAGCCCATTGTTGGGGCCGCGGTGTCAATCCAATTCTTGAGGGTCTTCCCCTTTTCCCAGGTCCCTCTACTTTCCCAGCATGACGTCTTTCCCCAGGGACTGGTCTCTTCATGACAAAAGTACGTGAGACAACGTTTCAGCAACCTTGCCTCTAAGGAGCATTCCGGCTCCACTTCTCCTAAGACAGACCTGTTTGTGTTGGCAGTCCACCGTACTTTCAATGTTTGTCACCAACAAATGCATCGATTTCTCTTTAGTCTTCCTTATTCAAAGGGAGGAGGGAGTGGGGAGGGAGGGGAAAAATGAGGACCTAATGCCGGGGATTTAAGTGGAGAGGAAATGTTTTGAGAATGATGAGGGCAATGAATGTACAAATGTGCTTTACACAATTGCTGTATGTATGGATTGTGATAAGAGTTGTATGAGCCCCTAATAAAATGATTAGAAAAAAAGAATAGAAGAAAGTTTATTTATATTCCAATCTGTTTATACTGTACCATCTAAGAAATAAAAGGTTTTTGTGAATACGAAATGAAATTAGCCATGCTATTGATCACTGCTTCCCTTCGGCTTAGTTTAGAAGAATGAATAAGATCTAATGAAAAGTAGGTCTTCTGAAACAAGATGAACTTTTAAAAGTATTTTTTTCAGTTGTAAAAATAGATTCTCAAGTTTCCAGAGGCATTTTTTTAAAGGAGAAAGAATGATAATCAGTTGTCACTAAATAATATTAAAAAGCCTTGAGGATAAAGTCATATACAATTTTCTTATCGTTATGATGAAATTTGAACAACATTGACAGATCATTGTAAAACTCGTGTGACAAAGTGGAAGAAGAAGTCCTTACCTTAACTGTTCTTCAGAACAGCCTTCTCTATACCTTTTGGGATAAAATTTCTCTATGACTTGTTTTAGAGTTTGATTTGCTTTGCACTGATTAGTAACCTGCCCGGCTGGAGTTGAGAAAGGTCTTTCAAAATCTCCAATCTCCACCTATTTGAAAATCCAGAGAGAAAATACAGGTTATTGAAACTATCTTTGGAAAGTGTGATAGTTAAGGTTTATTGTGCCAACCTGGCCGATAAACACATGTGGGACTAATTGAAGGGGAAGGGTGGAGACATAAATGGCTCTGTGAGCCTCGCCTTTCTTGTTCTCTGGTCTCTTGCTCTGATGGTCAGACCAGTGTGCGGCTGCCTTGGCTAGTTCTCTGCCTCAGCTGGCAAGGTTCACTTCCTGTGGGACTTTCCTGAGGAGAAGCCACATGGACCTACCCCGATGCAGCCCTGGGTGCTGGAGCAGCTTGTGGAGACCCCTGCCAGCGCTGAGATGCTGGCACCAGTGGCACCTCCACTGGATTCAAAGACTTTCTACCCACTGGCCTGTGATCATCCTGCATTTGGCATCACTGCATGTGGTTTGGGAATTTGAGGAGGACTTTGTAGATCTGTGTCGGACACATGAGTTAATATTGGACTTATGGGCTTGGATTGGACAGGGTTGAGGTGCTTTATTAATGCACATTTAACCTTTATATAAAACTCTCTCTTACACACATATGAGTTTCTGTAGATTTGTTTCTCTAAGTCTACGCAGACTAACACAGAAAGGAAAATTCATCTTCTTTTTAAAACTTTCTTTATAACATAGCCCACAAAAATCTGCCATGATTGTGTGCCTATGAGATTTACACGTATCTGTAAGATTAGTTATTAAAACAGAAACCCCGTTTAAATTCTAATTTTGAAAAGAAGCTAAAATGTAAATATTTCTAACCCATTTCAATATTAACCTCCTTAGGTTAAACTCACGACCCAGTAGCATTGCTAATAGATTTTTTAAAAGGCAAAATTCTACAGATATTTTGCAGGTAGAGCTGCTAATAGAATTTGCTATTAGGTAAGGCCACTACATTTTCCTGCTATTGCCTAGTATCATGTTTTTCCTGCTATTACCTATGTATCCCTAACATGGTACCATTTTATTGACATTTATTTCCTGTATGATACAATCCAGTGGTTTAAATATATTAAAAAGAGTTGTGCAATCATCATCACCACAATCAATTTTTGATCATTTTATTCTTTCTTGTGTCCAGCGGTATTAGCTCCCCATTGCCCCTCAAATCCCCTGTAATATCCCTACGGATCTATACATCGAGTTACTGTCTCTATGGGTTTACCTACACTGGATGATGTTTAAGGTACTGTTTTGTGGTGAAGCCTATGAGAAACTAGGACTTAATAGGACTACCTTGTTTTCTGGATCTCACAAGTTTCCACCGTTTGGCAGAGTATATGTAGTTGAACCACTCTTTGGTTGCTTGTTGAAGGAGCCCTAGTGTTCAGTGGTTGAGTTCTAGGCTGCTAGCCCCACAGGTTGATGGTTTGAGCCTACCAGCTGCTCTGCAGGTGAAAGTTGTGGCCATCTGCTTTTGTAGACTTGCAATGGGGCACTTCTCTGCTGGCCCGTGGGGTTGTCAGGATTCAGAATCAACTTGATGACAGTGCATTTGGTTTGTTATCACACATTGCGATAGAAAATATATTGGCGTTTCCCTTCTCTGACAGGTTTCTACCTCACACAGGTAGAGGCTTTTCAAAGTTCGACTGTACTTGCTAATAAAGCAGCACAATGAAAATTTAAATCCAAGACAATCAAAGTGGTAAAGCCATAACATTTCACAGAGGTATGTGAAGTGGTATTTTTAAAATCTCTCTCCTGAATGTAATGGGAGTGAGAACTATAGTCTTACTGGCCCTTTCCTAGGTTTTCTCCATAAACGTTACTGCCTTCATCTTCCATTTCGTTCTGATGTTCTATTATTCCTGGGAATACAGCTTTTCAGGCCCATCTCTCTCTAAGGACTAAATGCTCAGCTCTCCTTTTTATTAATTAGGTGAAATCGGCATCATCCTCTATCCACCCAGGCAAACCCCTGCCCCTTTTCTAGTGCCTTGTCCCCTCCTCCATTCAGCCAAACATTCTCTGAGTCCCATGATTTGACAGGCACTGTGCTACATGACAGGGGAAAAGAATACGTTGGATGGAGGGCCTGTTCTCAAAGATCTTATTAACTAGTAGCGGAGAAAGAGGTATAAACAAATATGATAAACTGTTTCAGGGGCCTTGCACAGGGCACCTGAGAGAGTCCAAGAAGAGAGATGAGCTAGGGACCATTCCGCTGACTGTCCTACTGAACAGTCATCATGAGCTACAGCACTCGGCAACCGCAGATGGGCGGGTTCCATCAAATGAGGCAGGAATGGCTTCTATCTCAAAAGGGCCCTGGCCTCCCCTTTACTTAGTTCTTCATCTTCATCTGATCAGTTACTGTTGAAATTCCTCAGTTCAGCATTGCCCTATTCTTAGAATGTCCTAAACCATGTCTTTAATCAAGTTACTTGCTTGCTGGTCACTTGGTTCAGTTCTCACTGGGCATTCCTCCTGGTTTCCATCATTCCACATCCCCTTCCTAGCCAACCATCCTTCAGTCTCCTCGGACCTAATGAAAGTTGGTTCCTCTGCTTCTCAGTCTGACTCAAGTCCTCCCACCACAGCAAGCTCTCTGTTGTCCTCGCCTGTCATCAGGCAGCACTTACTGTGAGGTCCGTGGTCAGGATTTAACCTGCCAGCGCTAAGATGCTTCTACCACCACTGGATCCACAAGACTTTGCACCCACTGGCCTGTGATCTTCCTGCATTCGGCATCATTGCATGTGTTTCGTGAGTCTGAAGAGGAATTTGTTCATTGGTATCAAACCTATGGACTTGATCTGGATTGGGCTGGGATATTTTCTCAATATTCAATTGCTCTTGTCTATAAAGCTCTTTCTTACATACATATAAGTATCTATACATTTGTTTCTCTGGTCAACCCAGATTAACACAAGTGGTGTCTTAAAGTTTAGTGTCTCCCTCCTTAATGCCTGGCTTCCACTTTGACACGGAAGAAGGCAAATTACATGTTTAGAGAATACATAGGATGTCTATTTTATGTACCTTGCAGGAATTGGCTCATTTGAAGGCATGACTGGGAGGGCCATGCTTTGACATTATGTACAAAGGCCAACCCCACAGAGGTTGAAGGAGCTTCACGACCATCAATAAGAGCCTACAGCAAAGCATGTGTTTTGAACTGAGGGCCACTGTGCTGAGAACCTTCTCGACTCAGGAGAAAGATCTGTAACGCTCAAGGTGATGAAAGACAGTGAGGAACAGCAGCAGGCCCGGCAGAGCCCAGCACAGTCTGAGTGGTGGGAACCAAGAGACTGGCGTAGGGCAGTCCAGT